GTGGCGTGGCAGTGCCAAGCATGTGCAGACGAGGTAGAGGACTGAAGTGCTGTAATGTAGGTCAAACACTTGCAGTAATTTCTAAGAAAAGATGTCTTGTTTGAATTTTGTGCATCAGTAAGGAGTCTCAGCAAGGAATGAAAAAAATAAACTCTGTCGACTCTTACTAAGAATTTTCTGTTGTGATAACAAAGTGTAAATATCATTACCCGTAGCCTACTCAACCGGCTGTCAGAGATGGCAAAAGTACTTGATTTCAGTACTTAGTAAAAGTACTGATACTGCAATAAAACTACTCTGGTAAAAGTAAAAGTACAAAAGTACTTCATCATGAATGTAAAAAAGTGAAAACAGTCAGTGGTGTCATTTGACCTAAAAATGTAATTCAGTTAAATATTGGGGCAACTATGGCTTTTTAAATACATTTTATAAAACAGAAATAGTAGCATTTCGATGCAGCTGCATCACTGAATGAGATAATTGGATAGTTACATTATCAGCTGTTTGAGCATACGAAGGTTTGAGCTCTGATTCATGGGGACAAAGGCATTTTTTATTTACACCTAACTTTAGAGCAGACCAGGGTAAACAAATTCGGGGGGAAACTGAAAACAAAAACATGTGTGTGATCTAAAAAGTAAGTATCCCCTTTTTAAAATGTAAAAAGTAGAAAGTACATATACTTGTCTTTCAAAGTAGTGAGTAACAGTAAATATTCACCAGAAAGATAAATAGATTTTTTTAGGTATCTTTACTTAAGTAGTGGAACTGAGTAAAAGCACTCTGTACATGACACCTCTACTGGCTGTACACAGCCTGGCCATCTCATTTACAGAACAATGGTGTCGTTCACACCTGAGTTAAGATGCTAACTCAAAACTAATCCAGCCACTTGGCTGCTCTTTGGGCGTGGAAGTTAGGAAAGCCAAATGGCTGGGCTTTGGGACTTCTAGTGTTAAGATTGTTGTCATCCTCTGAGATGCTCTGTGCTAGATGCTCACTTGTACCCAGTTAAGAAAGAACCAAGGGAATTGCTTTAAATAACTTGTTAAATGAAACAGAAATTGTCATTTAAAAACCTCCTCAACCTGATGTTTTGACAGTTGATGCACAAAGATGGCGCCACTGATTTGTGTGGACAGCGAACATGTTGAGAACAAAATCAGAGTCTGTTTATCGGTCTACAAATGTTTTGTCAAGGTAAGCATTTATTCCAGAGGTTGTGCAAATGATATTTTGTCACTTAAAGCTCAACTGCATTGATGTTTTCTAGATTCCAATGGTCACAGATTCAACATAAAGTAGGACGAACTACTGGAAACTGGACTACAGTCAGATCACAGCCAAGATGGTGCGTCGTCACTTCAAAGGAATCCTGCATCTCTTCCTTGAGTTGGCCTCCAAAGTGAAAACAGAGAAGCTGAGCAGACCATCGCAGTACCAACCCACGGCCTGCAGGGCTGTTCAGGTCAGATGTGAGGTGACGTTCAGCAGTCCTTTCTCCATCGAATCCCTCCTGAAGAGAGACGCCCCCTCTCCTCAGGCCTCCACACCTCCTCCTCTGGCCACCTCTGTTCTCACAGCTGAGCAGCCGCTCCAGTCTGCTGGGACCAAGAGGAGCCTCAACTGGAAGTCTGAGGAGCCTCTCCTCCGTCCAACTCCAGCTGAAAGTTCCTCCATGTCCTCAGCAGGAGGCAGCACAAGCCAGGGAGCCACTGCTGGTGCTGCTGAGCCCATGAGGAGGATCTCTGAATGCACTGAGCCCTCATTCCCCATCGACACCTTATTTCAGCAGCCAGCCCAGCAGTTACATCACTTACTCTGTACCAGCGTTCACCCATGATGCTCTCCAGTTCTGGATGTAAAATGTTCTTTATAACCAGTATTCTGGAGCACTCTCTGTTTTTAGTAAATAAAAGATAAAAACAAATGAAAGCAGCGCTGTCGACTTTTTTGTCCAACTAGAAAACCCTGAGTGTAACACAACTCCAGTCAATCCTTTTTACTCATACATACCCACATTATGCTTAAACATTTAAAAACATGCTGAGTCATTTCTGCCAATATAAAGTGGATTTTCACCGCTTATGAAATAGGGGTGTTTTTTCACTGGAGACATTTTGACTTGTTTGAAAAGCGCAGGGTGTGTTATTAATATTCACTCTGCTCTGTTCTAACAGTATGCACCATACAATAAAAAGACCCTGAAGCTGGAGCAGCTAAATGGATTTCAGTCATTATTCATTTTATTATTTACACCCATGCTTTTACTGCTGCTTTATGTCAACAAAAGCCTGTAACTGTCAGTCATTAAATTAAAAAAGTATATGCCACATCATTGTTACTGGATCGTTTTCATGCAGCCACAGGTGGTAATAGTCGCTGGGCTTTGATCAGCACGACCTATATAGAAGTGATAAGTGTTGTTTCAGAGATAGTTTCTCTTCACAAACAAGAGAAACGTATTAAAGAAGTGAACTCTGAACCCTCAACCATTGCATTCAAATGTTCAGTGGAAGTAAAATAAACTATATATTGCCACTGCTTCTCAGTGATGGAAGAAGTATTCACCCTCTAGTCAAAATACAACTCTTGAGAAGTTAATAAAGGCAGGAAAGTATCATCAGCAGTGGTGGAGGATGGTTTTAGATAAATGTTTCTTGTTTTATACACAGGGACAGCAGATACATGTGATACAAGCATGAGTACACAAATATGTTGTCAGTTTTTGTACTTTTTCTCTCATGTGTATTTTGGCAACTCGTTGGATCATTTGAACATTTAATAAAATGTTGGAACAACAGAAAAAGCCTTGACATCTGAAATGTGAGTGCTGGGAAACCACTGGCTTTAATATTTAATTATGTGTTCTAGTTAAAATGCTTGTGATTTAATTCACTGCGTAAAATCTTCATCTGACAGATAACAAGTGACTTAAGTTGGGAAATAAATTCAGTGAAGAGGGAAGTACAAAACATCCCTCTGAAATCTGTCAATTTGTCATTTGAAAATTGTGAAGTGTAAGTATAGTGTATAGTACACTTAAAGTATATGTCTTATAAAAACTGATTTAGTCCTCATTTATTTACCTCAAAAATGGCCTGTAAGTATTCAGTATATTTCCCCCACTGATCATCAGTCAGCATATTAAAAATGAAAGTGCTCACTAAGTAAAAATGCTATAAGTAATACAATACATTTTAAAGAGTCGTAGCTCCAGAATAGGCTAATGGTAGTATTAGTTCTGCAATGTGTTGGAGCAGAAGTGAAGATACTCAGTCAAGCATATGTACCTCAAAGCTTTACTTAACAGACTGTTTAGAAAAAATGTAGTTGGCTACTTACTAACTTACATTTATAGTCATTTAGTTTTGTGCCTGTGTTTCCCTTAAAGACTTCTTTTCCACTTACATGGAGATAAGACAATATTAGTATGTAATTGAACACATATTTACCGTGTGTGTGTGTGTGTGTGTGTGTGTGTGTGTGTGTGAAATGCTCCTCCTGCCTGATCACCCCACTGAGTCCCACAGTGAGAAGATCAAATGAGGTGAAAATCACTGGGATGTGGCCAAAAGCTTTCCCCTCTTACAAACTTGCATTAAGTGCATTGTTCTTGTTTAATCACCCACATTACAGTGTTTGTCACCTCATTTATCACAGCTGCTGTCTCTCATGGCCATTCCATTGTGAAAGGACAAAACGGTCTTTGCACTTTCTAAATGTTTTTTTTTTCATCTGGACCAAACTGGAGGGTTGTTTTCTTCTTGTTTACTTAACCCTATTCAGGACTTTCATGTTGC